CATTAAACGCATTTGGAAAGTGTTGGAACAGTAATTGCATTGATGTTGCAGGTGTCATTCCACTTGCGGAGGTAGTGGATTTTGCGGAAGCAGGAGGAGAGCCTGTGGATTTTACTGTAGCTCCAGTGTTGGCTGTGAAAAAGGTAATCTTGTTTCTCAAGTAAGAGGCACGATGACTTAAAAATTGCTTACAGCTTTTGAAACAAACGAAAATGACCGTCTCTGATATAAACTTGTGGGAAGTTAACGAAGCCTTCTCAGTCACAGCTTTAGCGTTTATGAAAGAGCTGAATCTTGATCCATCAAAAGTCAATATTAAAGGAGGAGCTGTAGCATTGGGACATCCATTGGGGTAAGCGGTACTACTTTGGACATCTCTAGAAAAGCGAATCACTCTTTTGTCTGCTCTCATTCTGAACGCATCGAAGTAAGTTGTGAGCATAGTTTAGCAAGCGGAATTGCAAATTCTCGCACACACATTGTATTTGAAAAAATTGTCTTTTGTCTGAATGGCTTGCTGGAGCTGGTAATGTATCAGCTTATATCGAGATTGACTTTTCCGACCTTCTACTGTTCATCTGCTGTCTAACCTCAACTTTCTCAATGCACCAATGCGATTCAATGTGTCGTGCTGCATAGATGAAATTTTTTTCAAATTTCAAATCTAGAAACGTGGCAGAGAGAATTTATCACTTGTTTTTGAGAATGTCTGGATTACGAATCGTGGTTTCTTTGGCCTATTCACTGCCAACCGGTGCATTCGGAATTGCTGCCATCTGCAATGGGGGAGGAGAAGCAATGGCCGTGTTGATTCGGAAGCCGTAATGTATCTCAAAATACATTCTTTGTAGCATATTTAATCTGTCTACTTTTTTTTTACAAGTGTTTTTTTCACTGCTGTTAAGAGAATATTTTCTATCCTTGGATATGCCGATGATCTGTGATAAATGTTTATTTTTTGTGTGAACTAATATCCAGGAAAGGAAGTCCATACTTATCCATCACATTATATGCATCTCTATTTGATTTGATAGCCGCAGGACCGAAACGTCTGTGCTCTTGTGTAGGTAGATGAAGCTACGAATTGTCGTGCTCAAAATCTCTCATTTGTCCTTGGCTCGTCTTTAGAAACTGCGGCCTTTCTTTCTTGACTTCTGCTCATATGCCTTTATTAACAAGTAATTTTGCAAGCAAATTACTTCATGCACTATAAAAATATTAATATACTTGTGTTCTTGTTCAAAATATTGCATAAGAACGAGCCGTTTGAAAAGAATTAATCTCTTAATTATCAATGCTCTCGTTGCTGAGGCTTAACACAGTTGTTAGCACAATTCATTGCATATAT